CAGGACAATTGACTGTTCTGTTCCTAATATTGGCTACAAGCAGACTTCTATCCAAGCAGTGAGATTTTCTTATACCAATCTCCATCATCACCACCATGCAGCCATCTGTGCTCCTATTAAATCTCCTATTAAATCTCCTCCTGTAGGCCTCTAATGGTGGAACTGAAAGAGAGGGTGCAGATGCAAGGAGAGGAAACAACTATTCCACCAATAGTAACCATCCAGCTGGTGAGTAGAAACCATGGAACACAATGCTTTTGACTACAGTGGGGTCTTGACTTAAGAACGGCTTGAGTTAAGAACATTTTGACTTAAGAACCGCTCTCATAGGAAAATATGGACTTGACTTACATACTTAGATTTGAGTTAAGAACTGAAAAAACCCACGTGGGAGGCAGGGAAAGTGCAAAATTTGAACTTTCAGTTAACTGTTGGCCAGTGAAAAGGGTGCCTGTCTGCTTCCTCACTCCTCCCAGCGTTTAGAGAGTGGATTGGGAGACAGTCTTCGGACTGCCTGGTACTGTACTGCCTGGACTGTATTTTCCCTGCCTTCCCTGAACCTTTCTTGACCTAAGAAAAAAAAGAAACAAAATATCCCCCTCTAGTGGTCGAAGGCGGAATAGCAACTTCCCATTAGTTTCTATGGACGGAAAAGAGCAGATACGGATCAAATGGTTTTCAATGCATTCCTATGGGAAATGTAGATTTGACCTGAGAACTTTTTGACTTGAGAACCGCCTTCCAATACGGATTAAGTTCTCAAGTCAAGACCCCACTGTATTTGAAAACTGAAACATGTTCTACCAGGAACAGGGTCTTTTCTGTTATGGCTCTGGAAGTCTAAAATATTTATCCTCAAAATGCTTGTTTGTGCTCATCTTCAGTTTCTTTTGAAAACATATAATTTGTGTTGTGTGTATTTTTATATCCTAGGCTTTTGAAAATTATTATTTTTCTGTTTGTTTTTCTGCATGTCTTTTAGTAGTATTTCACAATGATTTATGGTCTACAAACTACCTTGAGAACATTCTCATTTTTTGCTAAAATGCGGCATGTAAATATGGAAACGAAGATATGATATAAACAATAAACCGTTTGAGTTTTGCTGTAGAGACATGCCTACATCTGTCACTTGCAGTCACTATTTCTCAACAGAGAGGAGCAAGATAGGAAGATAAACCACAGAAAGCTATAATCTTCTGTGGGACACATATCCCTACTTCCCATTTATCTTTCATGGTGTCTCCCAAAAACATATGGAAATATATGTTCCTGTCCTTACATTTCATTCCGGCAGAGTGGCCATAAACACTGATGTGACTGTTTAATGGTCTTTTTTTCCATTTTCCGGTGGCTCCATCAATAATGTACTGTGTGCTCTCTCTTTTTTTGGCCATATCTCACAACTTAACCATTTCACTGATGGGTTTTTTTCCCCACACATGACTTTGGACTTCAGCATTCGTAGTTCAGCATTAGCAAGCAAGATGTGAAATAACCATATGTTCTTGATGTTTATATGTTAGGTTTATGACCAAAGATTAGTGCAACATGGGGAAAAAGATGGAAAAACAAGACATTCATACAGAGCCCACATTTAAAAAACACACACCGTAAAGCTATTCAGTCTTCAATTCTGTGCTACAAACCACAGACAAGAATATTTAACCTGTATGCAGCTTAAATGTTAAAAGTTTTCTTGGACATTTTAGACCCTGTTTTTATTATTGGCAGCAGAAATAGTATTTGGTGTGGAGCTTGTGCTTCTACTACAGTAGTGTGCAGTTTGTCTAGTAGTGTGTAGCTTGTCCTTCAGACAGGTGATCAGGTCATGACTTCTAGAAGTATTCGTGTATTGGCATAGGACTTGGGACAAGTAGGTGTTTCCCGGACTTTCTTCCTTTGATGGCTGAGCAGGGCCCCAGCTATCACCTCCTCTAAGAAGGAAATATTGCTTTGTACGAAAATCAGTGCATAGACACACAGAAATGCCATTGTATAAACTGAAAAATGGGAGTCATGTGGAACAACCTTGATAACTCATGAAAATAAAACAAACAGTTGAGCAATTCCTTTATGAGTGTGCATGTTTATGAGTGTGCATGTTTCAGAACACTTCCATGCTATGTGGTACCAAAAAAGGGTAGGAATGGAGGAAGAAAGGGAAAAGTCCATAAATGAGCCAGATGTTGTGACTATGAATTTTGCAGCACCAAGATGGAGTTTACAGACTGAACTAAGTGTAATGTATTGGGTTACACCTAATAATGAATACTGGCATGAAGAATTGATGGTGAGCAACTCTCCATTTCTGGAGATACAAGGCTTGTTGTAGCTCAGAGATCCATCCGTGTCCTTGGGTGAAACATGAAGGTCTCTAAATCAGTATGGAGTAGAAACACACATCAACATGACAGTCTACCAGCAAAGATACAGATCAGACCTTTCAATATGACTAGCCAAAAAGCACTAGGGTTTTGATTCAATGAAAAACTTGTGCCTTGCTGACTGATCACCCAATTTCTCCCTTTCGCTTCACTTGACCATCTGCAGTGATAACGTGTTTTAAACTGCCTTGTGTTCTAGAAACAGAAGGAGACTCCCCCCCCCGCATGATTGGTATCAGGAGCCTTCACAATTGGAAAGTTCACATGAACATAAAACAAGGACAGTGAAATGTATGCATCACAGCATATGAGATCAGATAAACATGTTTATGAAGCATGTATTGCAGGACAGCTCTGAAGGAATATCCAGGAATGTTTGCTTTTGAGAAACACACAATTGGGCAGGTAAGTGCACTTTAATTTCCATATTAACTCATGTGGAAGAATCTTCAAAAGATGACAGAATGACAAGACAATATTTTGAGTTCACACAGCGTGAATCTCAGTTTGCACAGACAATATGTAGCATATTCCATTTGAATAATATTCTCATTATTTTGAGGTATTTCCAATGACTTGGTCTGATAAAAATATATTAATAGAATGGGGCTCACATGTTAGATGAACTAATTATAACTTTAAAAATACAAATTCCATTCTTTTTTTGCTACATCAATTGGTGTAAGGAACTCTGTATTTTAATAACATCCTGAAGAGTTCTGACCTTTGAATATACATATAAAAAACCTGTCAGTCAAAGTTGAGTTATTTGTTGCTAGACAAAACTCAAGTCACCTTGGGGATTTAAAAGACAATGAAATCAACAGGATGTAATTGTAACCAGTGGGGACAGGGAGGGAGGGACTTTCAGAAAATATTTCTTCAAGCACTTGCAAAATGTTTTAATAATAATAATCTTAGAACTGCAGAGCGGGAAGAGACCCTATGGATCATAAGTCCAGCCCCTGTCAAGGAAGCCCAGTGGGTAATCAGACACCTAACCTCTGGAACCACAGCCAGAGACTTAAACCACTGAGCCTTAAATTTCTGGTAAAGTTTGAAAAGAGTTGTTTTTAAAAAAACCACACACAATAGACTACATTGTTAGCACCAGCTAGAGTACCCATTGGCTATGCTGGCTGAGCTGTAGCCAAGGGGAGAAAATGTTTCTAAGCTCTGGATTGGAGGGCTTATATCAAGGGCATGCCATCACATTTCACTCTTTATTAGCTTTATGTGGATTCCAGGACTACTGAATTAAAAGAGCAAATTTTCCAAAGTCTTTTTGGAGGTCCTATAATAGGAACATGTCATCACACCCAGTTCTCATGCACCATTTGAGAACCTGCTGATTTAAATGGGGAAGGTGCACCTCATCCTGAAATGGTGGAATCGGGCACCCACCTCCTTGGAACACAAGCAGAGTGCCTTTCCTTATTGACATGAATATTTACAGAGAGAATTGGGAACCAGAAAACACTGAGATCATTCTGAAACTACCATGCAGAATTATCAAACCTTTTTATGAGAGAAAAATGTCTTCCTTCCACAAGTCAGAGGGAGGAGCAATTACCTATTAATTTCTTTGTGGTGCAACTATCCATCAGTGATAGCACAGCTTCCCATTTTTTTTCCATCAGGTGTTTCTTACCATTGCCACTACAAGTGGCAGCAAGTTTGTTGGCAACCCAGCCACCATTTTGTCCATGCTTCACCATGCCTAGGACTATGCTAACCTTTGTATATCATTGCAGGATGGGGAGAAGGGTGGTGGCTGCCACAAAATGAATGAGTGAATTTTAAAAACAGTGGCACCTACGGTATTTCTACAGATTCTCCGCTGGTGACAACAAGAAAATTACCAAAAATTTCTGCAGCAAAGCAGAATCTTAGGAATTACATCAGCTCACCTCTAGAAAACAAAATGCCTGTGCATAGGATCATGGGCAGCTATCTACGTAGTCCGTTTTAAAGCTTTCAGGGAAGAAGACTCCATCATCTCCAAAAGTAATGCATTCTCCTATCAAGGAAATTCCTCCTGATTTTCAGCTGGAGTTTACTTTCTCCTTAATTGAGTTCTCAATTAAAACAAGGTTTTAAATGACAGTTCTTCACATATATGGATATCATATGTTATTTTATCCGAACTAAGGACACCTCCCTCCCTCGCCAGCTTTTTATAAGGCTTGGTTGCCAGACCCCTTACCATTCTTGTCACCTTCCTTTGGACGTGTTCTAGCTTGCTGACAGCCTTCTTAATAGACGGCACTCACAATTAGATTCAGAACTTGGGGCAAGGCCTAATTACTTTCTTGGTTTGGACTGGACTTCTGTTGATGAGGTTTGGACCTGCATTCTCCCCTCCACCTCCCCACATTGTGTCACACTTTTGACTCATGTTCAGTACATATTTTCGAGGCTGATTGCTGCACAGGCCTTTCAGCAGCACAGAGGCACCATTTATGTATGGCTGAAAAGATGAGGGGGTGGGAGAAACTGGACTTGCAATGGATGCCCCTCAGAGTTCAGTTGTAACAATCCTTTAGCTCCCATTTGAGGATTCACACCCATATGGCACCCACAATATTCTCACAGGATTTTGTTATACTTGTTTGTAGTTGAGGGGCCTAGGTGAAGACTGAGGGTCTTTTGACCCCCTTAGCTATTTTCTGCAGGGATACTAAAAATCTTCTCTAGCCTCCATTCCCTCAGTTTAATCACCCCAGGAGTCCACCCACAGAACACCCACGTTCTTTTATTTGTAAAAGCAGTTCAGGTCATTGTGGGCTTGAGGATGATTTACTGTGTTTTGCAATGGTTTGCAGAAGCCATATTTTAAAGAGTTCCGTTTTTAAAGCAGCTATATTGGATCTCTTTTGATATGAGGAATTGGAAAGTGCTTTTGACACTTCAATTTTGTAACAAATTTATATCAAGAACGTGGTTAGACTTTGACCAGGTGTAGACAGTATCTCAAAATGAAAGGATCATTCAGATCTAAAATGTCACCTGTGTTGTCATAAGGAAGTAATAAAGATGTGAAGTACAGTTTGTATCAGTGGTAGTTCTCCTGTGAAAAAACCTTAGTGTGTCAGAGGAGCCTTCTAGTATAAGGCAAATGTCAGAAAAAATATAACTGCTCCTTATATAAGGTATAGGGCCCCTCAATCTTCTGTGGTTGGAGAGAAATTAATTGAAGGCAATGAGGGAAAACATTGGCCAAATGAAAGACAGGAGAAGACAGTTTATAAAGTTGTTTTATAAGGAAGATATTTTCCTTGAGAGAAAAAAACTGAATTGAAGAAAGGATTACAGGAAAGATACTTCCCCCCCTCCCAAATGGCTGCTTTCTTATGGATAAAGATTTCCAGTCTATGTCACTAGGAACTTTTCTGATGTTTATGGCCATTTTCAGCCATTACAAACAAGTGGCCATTCAAAGTACAAATGTTGCACATAGATGGATCTATCCATGCAACTTATGGATGTTTTTTAAATTGATCTTGTACATAAAAATATTTTGGAATGATACAGATTTAACATAAGAGATGAGCAGTGGTGCAGAAAGCTTAAATTGTATATTAAATACTTTCCTTCAAAATTTAGAATGGAGCAATGGCTAAAATCCTGTTGCTTAGCATAGTGTCACTACAGTAGGTCCACTGAATCAATGGGAATTTGGGGAGTCAACTCCTCTGCAAGTTCCATTGATTCAAATGCTCCTACTCTAGTTATGACTTATTTTAGTGTAATAAGTTCCAATGCAAGTAGATAAATAGGGACCACTTCGGTGGGAAGGTAACAGCGTTCTGTGTCTAAGTCGCACTGGCCATGTGACCACGGAAGATTGTCTTCGGATAAACGCTGGCTCTATGGCCTGGAAACGGGGATGAGCACCGCCCCCTAGAGTCGAACATGACTGGACAAAAACTGTCAAGGGGAACCTTTACCTTTTTAGAATAACAAAATCCGCCCTGATTCAATAGACCTGCTCTAGTGTGACTTACTGATCTTGTAGTCATCCTTCAGTCTCGAGAGACTATGGTAACGTGCTCTGAATAGAGGTCTTGGAACAGCATCTAGTGTGGCTGAGGAGGCCAATTTGAGAGTGACAATCCTTCCCACACTGAAGACAAATACAATCTGTCCCCTGTCCAGCTCCCTGATTTTGGGGAGTGCCCCTGAATTTACCCCTCATTTTTTGTTCTAGAGAGTTCCCAGACTTTCTGAACTGATTTTCACTGAATGAAAGAAACTAAAAAACAATAAAGGTTGTTTAGTTTCTTTCAACCTGTTAAATGATTCCACTACATATTCATGTTTGAGCTTTCAAATAAAGCCTATGTATATGTCCCAATGAACTATCTCAAAACAAAGCATCCTAATTGGTAAACCATGAGAGGTTTGAAAAACTTGTGCTGTAACAATCAGAATTCTTTCCACATTTAGGGAATTTCCTCTTCTAATGATAGACTATTTGTAATGTATGTTTTCATCTCATACTAATTTTTGTAAGAAAAAAATTATGTAGTGTAATATATGACTATCAACCTTATTTCTCAACGTTGTTACAGAAAAATTACTAAAAATTGTCACCCATACACCAAATAATGTCTCGGCAACTACAAATATTTTGTTTCATAAAAATATTTTTAAAGTGACATTACCCATATAATTCTTCAAAACCACAGTGAGAAACTAAATTACTTTTAATACATTCATTCCAAACTCTGCCAATAGCTGGATTCAATTGTGTATTTCTGGTGACCCGTGAATCAGGAGCTTAGCTGAGACAATCCAGCAACCAAAGAACTGCTGGTTCTAGCTCAGATTTTTTCTAACACCCATCATGTTGTATGATGCAGATTTTATGTAGAATAATCATACCTCACATGTAAGAAAGGACAGCATTGGGGTAATGTTGGTAGTGTTTAAAAGATTCCTTGAAGAAGGATCTTTTATAAACAGTCTTAATCAAAATTCTATACCAGCTCTAAAACTCTATAGGTGTCTGTCTTCATAACTAGTTTTAATTAGCTATTAGACATAGGGTGCAAATTGATAGAAAAGAGTATAAAATATTTCACATAACAAAGTCTAGTGAAGGCAAATATCAATACAAAACATTTTCAAGTTTCGGTCTTAGATGCAGTTCCTTATCCTCATGTGTATCTGTGAAGATTCTCAGTCATCCAGGTAAGATTATCTGGAAGTTGAGTCATGGCAACTGGCCTTCTTATTCAGTTGAAATGTTTCACTACTCATCCAAGTAGCTTCTTCAGTCTGAGGAGAACTGGTAGAAAGATATATCCGGGGGTCTCCTACCAACTCTTCACAAACTAAAGAAGCTACTTGGATGGGTAGCAAAATGTTTCAACCCAATAACAAAGAAGCCAAGTTGCCATGACTCAACTTCCAGATATCCTCATGTATTTTTGAGGATAAGGAACTGCAAAATTATTATTCTCACTCTGCAAGGAGGTCAGCTATTTTGTGGTACTCTTAACAAGAGAATGAGAATTTTCTGCCAAGGAAGTAAAATTGCACAAATTATGTGATGTGTGAAATTCATGAAAACACAATGACTGCTGCCTTGTTGTATGCATTTTTTGGGACATTTAAGGATCACAAGCATTGGTGGGCTTATCTGATTATTTTTCATACAATCAGACCATTATTTTGTTTCACTGCATGTATGTGTGTAGGTATATAGGTATACACACTTTACTTCTCAAAGGTAAAAGCCAGCTCATTTGCACAGAGACTAGTCAGTACTTCTCAAAGGTAAAAGCCAGCTCATTTGCACAGAGACTAGTCAGTAGTCTACCCCAAACTTTTATCCTGATATCTGTCTGGTGCCTCCGAGGATCATGCCACTGAACACTCCATGAAGCTGGTCTAACTGTCAATCATGATTTGCACTTCAATTCACTGATGTGCTGTGACACTGATTACCATGGCTATTTTGTCTCATTTTACATTTCAGTGCTAATTAGCAATTGGAGATGTCACATTGTCAGTGGATGACTTGTGGTCAGCAATGCACCATATGCCCAATTCTGGTGAGAAAACAGTTTCTGCAAATTAACTTCCCTCTGCTCTGGAGTTGGAGGAAACAGCTGGCCCAACATGACGGAATGTTTGCTTTGGATGCCTCACGTTTACCAACAACACAGTCGCCTGGCCATTCTTCCTGTAATACAACCATTTGTGCCAATAAATATAGCTTACTCATCTTGGATTCCTGTTCTGAGATGAATACTACAATTCAGTGATACATTCTGCTGCGATATAGAAAATGCAAATTGCAGTATAAACTCATATTCACAAAAATATTGCTCCTGAATACCAGCACAGATCTGAATGGAGAACATTCACTGGGTATCTGTAACAGAGTTTCAGTGGAAGCAGAACTATTTGTGTCATCTTTATTAGAAAGTAGGTCATTATGTGGGTAATTCTCTGATAGAACTGGGTAAGGCTTCACATGTCTTGGGAACCTGCCATTCTTAATTAGTGTTGAATATATAAATAAGATGTACAAATCTTCTGTAAACACTGTCAGTATATTTGGAAACATGAAATACAAGACTCTAGTACTATCACTTCTAAAAATCTACTGACACATTTTCAGCATTAATAATAACTTCCTTTAGATAACATTTAAAGCTCAGCTCAAATTACAGTATGAAGACCATTTTGATGATCAGTGGACTGTGCTGAAAGGTGTGAGCTGTGACCTTTGGGATGAAGGGAAAGAAGGCAGCTCAGTGCTGGGCAGAAGTGATCCCTGACCGCAGAGATCCAACTGTGATTCTTCTATAATCCCCCTTTCCCTCAGCATCCTCCAAAGCTATCCCATTCTAGATTTTCTTACGCTCAAGGACAGCTGGATAGGAGTTTTGCTTCTACTAGGGAAACCACCTCTTCATCTGCTGGAGCTTCTTAGAATTCAAGTCCCAACATTAATGTAATATAAGCTCATTCAGTAAAATCTGGGCCTGGGGAAAGCATGCCCACCCCTAGACATCATTGGGCTGAAACTCTCAGCAGACTGAATCAAACATAGCCAGTGTTTGGATCATGAGAAATGCAACACAATGACATTAGGAGGACCACCTGTTTCCTAGCTCTTATACGATAATCAATAATCATGCACCATCAAGTCTATTCTGACTTATGGCACCGCCTTTCCAGGATGTTCAAGTTAAAGAATATTCAGAAGTGGTTTATTATTCCCTTCTCCTGGGAGCACCCTGGGACTGTGCAGCTTTCCCAAGGCCACACAGGCTGGCTCTACTCCCAGGAGGCACAGAGGGGAATCAAATTCTTTACCTCTGGCTCCACAGCCAGGTACCAATACCACTGAGCAATCCATCCAACTAGCTCTACAAATCAGTATAATGCAAATTCAGGACCACAGGGGTAGGTGGAATAAGGGTTCTATATTCTCATGCAATTTCTGCAACAAATTCAAACAAGAACTCCATTATATTTTGAAGAGAGAGATGACATGAACAAGCTTAATAGCATAGTAGTATAGGTGAATATATTTCTACAACCAGAGCCTGACTACTATAGCAGACCCTTTGACTCTATGGGATTTATATAAGTGTTGATTTACCATTCAGCAAAGGATTCAGAGGGTGTACTTTTAGTTTAGACTAGCAATAGCATACTGGCCTGTATATTAATTAAAATGTGATCTCAAGGCACCCTAGTTCAAGCAAACTATAGTTAACCTCTCCAAAGTATAAATTTAGCAATTCAAATTACATCTTTGATTTTTCATTACAGATGTCCTTGTACATTTTTCAATATACTAGAGTTGTTCAATAGACCCCAGAAATAGGAATGTGCTTTGCATAGTCTAATGAATGATTAATTTTAAATAATATTGTTATTTTATCAGGAAGAGCGAAAGATCAGGGCACTCCATCAAGCAGTCCTGAAAGGACAAATTTAAGTGACATCCAGTAACAAATTCTCATAGGACTATAAGAAATATGTGTTCACAGAGAGACTGCAGATGTTCAGAGGCATGCCACAATTTCTCCAATGTGGAGGTCTTTGCACAAAGCCGTGGAAGGAGCATGTGTTGCTGTGCACAATTAACTACACAGCAAAGGTTATCAACTAACCAGGAGAAAATGACTTCACTTGCTTGTGTGCCTTTTACAGCAGCTTGTTCTGAAGATCTGTAGTGGATCTACTATGTATTAAAAAAGAGATTTTTACTAGAAATTCAAAACTCTACACCAAGCTGCATGAATAAATTTGGGTATTTTATTTATTTACTTTACCTCATTCATAGGCCACTTCTTTCTTAATGAGAGAACTGAAGGACACTCACAATATTATAGGTATCTCAGAGTTTCAAAGTTCTGGTAAAAAAATGTGCTATGTAGTAGAAGTACAGTGCCTCTCATTAACTAAGGTCTCAACAACTCACTCTGGGTCATTTGTAGCAGAAAGAAGAAAATTTTAATTACTTACAGTTTTGAACAGCAAACAAACAACTGACTTCCACAGACAAAAGAGAGGAAAACAGAACCCTCAGCAGAGTGGCAGGGCTCTTTTTGAATTCAGAGGTGGGGAAAAAGCAATTGATGAGTACCGGACTGATTGACAGTCACCCAGCCAAGAAAATTCCTCCCAGTCAAACAAACTGCAGGCATCATGTCAGGCAATAAATAAACAAATAAAATAAAATAAAGAAGACAAATGTTGTGACATCTTGTGGACAAGTTCACTTCCTCAGACAGCAAAGGTTGTGAGGTTGCAAATAAAGCTCCAACAATAGATTGGGTTGGAAGACACTTGCAAAACTGTAATACAATGTTGATAGGACATTCCAGTATACTTTCAGGAAATCTAATTACATACAGTTTACCAATGCTTAGAAAACTGCTTGAGCCATTTTGCTAGTACTGTAGTACGCATCTTGAAAAAACACTAAAAACTAAGGAGATTGAATGTCTTCAGAAAAATGAGTTTGAAAATTGGATTGAATCAGAGATAATCAAGGGGTACCGCAAAGAGCCGGGACACACCCAAAGGACAAAACAATACTTACCATATATTCCTCATATTAAATCTAGCATTTGTGGAGTTAAAAATATTTACATGAGAAAAGGGTGATAGGATTACAAGTGGGGAAAGAGAGTGAGAAATTAAGCACCAGTGAAGGAGAAGATGCACTTCACCTTAGAAATGAAAGCTTTCCTGCTTGTCCTGCCACTATTAGTGAAATATCACAGTTTAAATGTTATGGTTTAGAGACTTGTTTCTTCAGTTTTGCAATATCCTGCATGTCCCCTTGAAGCCGCCGCAGATGCAGCAGTACAGACCACTAATATTAGATCCAGCAAAAAGGAGTGAGAAGGGGAGGGGAAAGGGGACAGCAAACCTAAAGCTACGACTGGAAAGTTTTGTCCACCTTTCTTTCCCTTCTTTTGAATAAACCTACTTGCTGTTCTGACTGTGGAAGAGAATGAAGGGAAATTGCAGGCGGGGTGAAAGAAGAATAGATTCCATGCATTGCCATGTTACAAAGAAATTAAACAGGACTGTGCCCCTTGATTTTTAAAATTCCTTCCTTCCCTCCCTCCCTTGTGGCTGCTCTACTAACTGCTCTGCTAAACCTCTGAGAGGTCCTGAGCAGGTGCAGAACAACCCAATTGTGTGAATTCACAGAGACCACGAAGAAGAAGAGGAAAAATAAAGAGAGCACCCAGCTCTGGAGACTCCTGCTGCCCTAAAAAGAAGCTCTTCTGTTCTGCCTGCACCTCAAAACACCTCGGGCCTGGCCTAGATTTCATTATTCACGATGACCTGATTTTCTTGTTTGGGTTTTCCTAATGGAAGGATTGTCCCCCTCCCTCCCCACACACCCAAGAGATCTGGAAATGTACAGACATTACCACAGACACAGGGTGGAGTGTCTCAAAGAGTGCTGGTCTTTTTCAACTTATTTGGGCATAGATTGGATCTAAGATCAAGCCCTCATCCCTATTGCAAACACACCTGAGGCCATTTGAAAATATTAATGCTAATGCTAACACTAACCATAACAGCAACAACAATTAACAAGAATCGTAAAATGTATCAGTCTGATATATATGCAATAATATTATATAAAGCCCAAAATTAGAATTACTTTGCAACTAAAGTAGTTTATTCATTTCAATTACTTAGACATTACTTTTGCTACTATTACTACCCTTGCAAATAGGAACATATATGGTGTTATCTCTTGCTCAATTGAGGAGAAAATGGAGGAGAGACTCTCTTTTTTTAAAATCTTGAAGCAGTAATAAAATCCCCTGGCATGAGACACTCATTTTCCTCAAGAAAAGGAAATGGCAAACATTTCTATGCGTATGTTTCTATGAGTGGGTATACATCACCCAGAGAAATCTCAAAAGGAAATAATGAAAGATGGTTTCAGAACTTTGTTTAGGTGATCACTTTATAATAATGGGGGGGGGGGGGTAGCTCAGTGGTTTATGTGTCTAGAGGTTGGAGTTCAATTCCCCGCTGTGACTCCTTGACAGGGGCTGGATTCATTGATCCATAGGGTCCTTTCCAGCTCTGCAGTTCTAAGATTATGCTAAGATTATTATCTCTGTTAAAAGGAAAACATAACCATATATTATTGGAAATGCTTAGAAATATTTGATAAGAAATTATAGATCTCAGAGGCTCTTACCAAATTAATGGTAATGATAATAGGTTTGCTGTTTTATATATATATAAGTGCTGTGTTGCTGAGAACAGCTAAATATGTAGGACATGTTAACAGATCAGACAACTTAAGTTTATAAGGTAAAATCAGAATGAATCTGTCTTTTAAAAAAGCATAGTGAAGAACACTTCTCCCTGCTGAATATGATTGATTAAATAATTAAATTAATGTACGTATCTATATATCATGAGGAACAATGTGAACCATTACTCGTGATGAGAGATGGGCATGAAATGAACCATGAATCAAAAAGGCTGATGAACCAGGCTGATTTGTGGTTCGTTTCATGACCCAGTTTACAGATCTCATTTTGCCAAAGCAAAATAAAAAATAGAACTTTTATCCCTTTGGTGTTTCATTTGCTTTGGCAAAACCAGATGCCTGTCTGCCTGCCCGCTCCCTCCGCATTGCCCTGTCACCTCCACCTGCCTGCCTGCTGCTGCTACCAGTGC